AATAAAAATAAAGAAAAGTTATAATCCGACATCACAAAAAGACATCGGAAAAATATTTTCTGTAGGTTCCGACAAGGCCCTTCTGCCTCAGTGAGCATCAGTCATCTCTTCCACCCTTGGCTTCGCAGCCTCTCTCCACTGTCTATGTCTGGAGTTGGTAGAGAGAAAATCCATGTGCTGTCTACGTGTTTTTGCTCTAGAATTTTTTAAACAGGTATCCAAGAATCTCAGAACTTCTGCTAAATCTGGTTTACATGAGCACATGTGTACCCTCACAAGGATGTGCAGAACGTGCCCCCGGTGGACAACCTCACAGAGAGATCTTTTACCTGGGGGCAGAGACCTCCATTTTGTGGGCCTGGATCTCATTTGCACATCAGACTGAGGCAGATGGTGCAGGGAGAATGTCTTCCTGTCTGTGTTCTAATCTCAGGAATAACGTCACATTAATATGTGTGTTTAAGGGAAATGTTTTGTCATGGAAAGTTTGTTTCCTGAGCTCTGTGTGAGATCCTTGGAATGGCCAAAGGAACTAAGCAGCCACACAGCTGTTTGCCCCTCTGTGTGATTTGGTAAGAATAGTTCGTTTCTGTAAGTATGGCCATAAATATTCGTCTTTCTTTCTTCAAACCCTGTTAACTCCCACTTGACTTTGCCGTCGAAAACCAAACCATCCTTGCCAGCTCAGCTGTCTCGTGACTTTGGACCTGACTGGTCGATCCTCTACCTGAGTGAATGAACTTTTCCAATTCCTTCTCATTCTCTGGGAGCAGGTACGTGGACTCATCCTGGCCCTCGTCCCCGGAGCCGCCCTCCTCATCTCCTAGTGACGATATCCTGATGTTTCTATAAAGTAACTCAAGTTGCTGTCTTTCCTCAGCCTGGACCAGTCGACTGGAGAGTAGTACAAGCATATTTAGAAGCACGGTTTTCACAGTGAATCATCATGTCTTAATCATGCGTCTTTTTGCCTGGGAAGGGATTCACTTATAGGGGGTGGTAGCTGGAAGGTGAGGGATGGGAGGCAGAAATAGACTTTTAAACCAAACTGCTCATAGTCAGAGCTCAACCTTCTGTGCTGCCAGGCAACTTTCTGGAGTAA